AGTATAAAACCACCCAAATTTTTTTCTTTCCCATTTTTCATTCCTTTCTTTTTTTTTCTCATTGTTTTTTCTTTTTTTTTTTTTTTTTTTTTTTTTTTTTTTTTTTTTTTTTTTTTAGTGAAATAATGTTATAGATATTGCTATTGTTCTACGTAATTCTCTAAAATTAAAATGCTATTTTAAATTTTATTGGAAAGGATCTATTGTTATTAATATCATTCATTATTAATACTTGAATTGAGAAGTATTGTGAAATATTAAATCATATCACAAATCTAATAATAGAAGAGGCAACATTTTTCTACTTTAAACACCGAATCAAACATTTTGAAGACATATAAGTCATTATTGCACTTTAGCGAATTCTGTTATTTGATGAACTCTAGATGTCCTGAACAAAAAATAGAATTGAGACTGGAATTGAAAATTAATTATAATATGCAGATATTCTATTATCTGATTAGTCAACTGTCACAGTTCTGAATTGTTTGACTATAGCATCTCCTAATGTTAACTATTATGCAGCAATGCATATATATTGAACTTAGTATACGATTTTCCGGAAATCATTTTCCCGAAATGATACACTATTAACTAAATCTGCCGACATTGAACTAACTTTGAATAACGTTCTTTTGCCTTCGGATATAACAATTGAATTTAGGTTGAAATTTTGGTTTTAACTAGCATTGAAATGAAACGTTGTAATGATAGTATCACCTAATGTGATGCTAGTCATCACGTAGTTTGAATAGTTTGATCGGTTTTAGGTTGGATCGTCCGGCCACTCTCAATCATAAGACCGATCAATTAGTGTCATCAATTCAGATCCTTCAATCCTAAAAGACGGTTTTTAAATTATGATTTTCGTTTACACATTAGTTATTTGTATATTCCAAGGATATACTAATTTGATTAGTTTGAATCAATTCGAACCGGAAAAACTTTCATACCAGTTTTTGTAACATACCTAAAAAATTTAATATTGAGGTATATATTAGCTTGACAGGTAAACTACGTTTCACGACTATAATTATCAATATTGACTAACAGACAATGGAATTAATATAATGTTACCCCACAAAAAAAAATTGTTACCCCACAAAAAATTTGACCGATAAAATAATTACGTATATTTTTACTTTTGAATATACAGTATTACATAGATCACTTTTTTTTGAGTAATATGATCTTGTTCGAACCGGTTGTCCTTCAATGATAACAATTAGTTCTTTCAATGAAAATAAATAGTCTATTACATATGAAGAATGAAGTGCAATAATTGAATATATGACTATTATCGTTGGTTAAACGTCAGTGTGCAGATATTGATTGATGTAGAAAGAATCAATTCATTTAGAAATGTATAAAAGTAGCATCGCAGTCGCTATAATATAATAGAAACTTATACTTGTTGGCAAAGATTTAAAACACAATAAAATTTCCCTAATCCCAACAAAAACTTCTCAATCAAAAGATTTTGCCAGCAAATATACTTCTTTTCTAAGAATATTTAAGAATATAAGAAATTAAAACTATGAGTAATATTACAAATAACTCTACAAATCAAACTTCCCAACCTTCATTATCCCAACATACTATTGATGATATTATTGCACATGTAATTGATGGTGGAAACCCTTTTACTGAAATGCAAAGTACATCAAATCAAACAGCTTCCCCACAAAATACGCAATTTTCAGACACATTATTTTCCGGAACTTCCTTTGTACAACATGAATGACATTATACAGAATAACGAACTTTTCGGGAATCCGATGTCCAGCTGCAGGCCCAGCTGGGTTGTTTTCTTGAATCATAGACAATCATTCCAATCATTCTTCTTTAGGCAAATAATGATTCGTAACTGGTCCTGTGGCATTCATCATCCTATTTTTATTATATTTTTCCCTTGGCAAAATCACAATATTTTTTTTAATTTACATAACAATATAAAATAAAATTTTCGATCTTGCCGGTTCTCTCTGTTTATGTTTCCTTCACGGTAAATTTTTATGTATGTAGTTAGGCGAGAATTTATATACATAGATATTAAATTATGGAATTATGAATAAACTTACAAGGAGGTATATTATTCAGCAGAGGCGGTTACACGATTCGTTCAAAAATTTAAATCATATGCATTTTAGGTTTTGTATTACTTAATTGTGTCATACATATATACAGTATGTAAACTCGCATGGATATCGTTGAATTTCACAACTTTTTATTTTCCAATTCATATCGTTAATAATAAACTATGTGTAGTTTGGTGAAATTTCGTTTGTTAGGTGTGAAAGATGAATACTGTAGGTGGAAATAGTTGACAATTCGATTTAAAACTTTCGAAGCAACTGATCGTTAGATAATTATCTATTTAATAAACATTACTGCATACAGTACTCCTGAAAAAGTATCATCAGGGTACTATTCAATTGTAAATTTTTAACATTTTTGAAAAGTACTAATCAAGCACACAGTAATATATCACTTCACCGACAGTTATTTTACCGGTATCACTTTGGGTGACGTTCCCGTAATTTATTAAGTTCATGGTTCGAATCAATGATCTTGTTATACGATCAACTCGCATGATCAATACTCTCTTCGGAGTACCCCTTTACACGGTACTCCGGGGATATTATTTAATTTATCTTGGCATTTGTGAAAAAGACCAGTGGTACTGCATGCAGTGCTGTTAGGTAGATTATTTTTTTTTTTAAATTACGAAAGGTTCACGGATGTGTACAGGTCATAATGTGATTTTGCACGTACCGGCTAATAATTGGCAATGTACATATTTAACTGTGTGATACATTGTATATCAGTACTAAATGCGAAGTTATCTCTTTACAATTTGTAACCCAAGCTTCCGGACTTAACTAATTATGCCCTAAACCACCAAATTTTAGCGAATTTGACCAATAAAACTGCATTGAGTAAAGTTGCTTTGATCGTAATTTGATATAACATTAGCAGATATTAGCTTGTGTTAGTGATTCGCAGGTCCAATCCAAGATCCGAATCTGAATCGTCGGATTGGATTCGAAAGCACGGGTTACACAAAATCTCAATTTTTCGGATATAAGTTGTAACGATTTTATTATTTTGTATTGGGAGAGCAGAAGGAAAGTGGGTTTCCACGAACACAAATTCAGCTCCAATAGTTTGCAGGAAATATGGGTTATAATTCTTAGGCAATTAGTTAGGAATTAAATAGCTTTCAAGAGAGGATCAGATCGAAAATATAAGAGAACGAGAAATTGATATCAATACGAATGCATATATCAGGGATTATGATGAGGACAACTTTCACCCTATAAGAAAAGTGGGCCGTGAAAACAGTGATATGGGGTTAATGAATATCTGAAAATTAACGTAAGTGCATATATGTAAAATTTTGCAAGGAATTTGTTTCATTAAATCACCCAGAGTTGCTTTATCGCGAAATTTTGAGATACTGTCGGCCCTTGTTACGAAAAATAACGTGACATTTGTAAATAAGCTTTTTGCGTAATATTATGGTTTATGATAGTCACGGTTTACTTTAATTAGACTTTTACATTGTTACGATACTTTTTTTTTTTTTTAAAAACACATCTAAGCGTACTTTATTTATTTATTTTGTAAAAGTAATATACATATTTACATATTGAGATTAATGTATTTAAGAATATTGTTAGTTTTTTCCGATTTGAAAAGAATTTTTTTGTTGAATAGTTTTTGCAGAAGTTTGATTTCATGTTTGATTCTTATGGTTATGACATTTGCTATTGCCTCTTGAGGATTATATTATCACCCCATCTGGCTTGGGTATACCAACACCAGATTTCATAGATAGCTGTAATGTGTAGCCAAATAGCTGCTTTTCTCTTTTGATATCTACAATATTAGTTGTTTGAGTAATATCTTTAAGAGTTCTGAGGATAGCATCTCCACCTGTATTGTTTAGTGCTTTGTAAGTTACTTTCCAAATTACTTTGCTTAGTGAGTTTAAGAGCAAAGTGTTCTATTGTTTGAGTGATATAGGGGCAGTTAGGACAATCTTCTAAGTTGGTTTGATCAATATGAATGAGTCTGTACCTAAGAGAAAGGGCTCTATGTGTTAGTTTCCAAAATATATCTTTCTTTTTATTTAGTAACTACCTTGTCTTTATCTATTCATGTAAGGAGGAATTCTTTTCTGAAGAATTAGTAACAACTGAACTTGGTGGGTATAAAAGTTTTTTAGAACATCTTTTATAGTAAATAGATATTATTTATTTTAATCTGGTTTAATGACTGAGGCCATGTATGGTTGGTTAAGACTTTTTCTTTAAATCTTCTCCATGCCATGATGTAAGGCTTCTAGTTGTCTAGCTAACCTTTAGTTCTGCATGAAATTTGAGACAGAGCTATAGCAGCTGAGATCTTTCTTTTGTTATAAAGTTTCATGTTAATAGTTTCTGTTTCAGTAGTGGCTCAGAAAGCATTACTTGTAAGAAATTTAAGTAGTATAGTAAGGAGCCTGGTATTAAGCATATCCTTGAAAATAGAGGCTAATAGCCTCCTTGTTTATAGTTGCACTGAAATGTTGAGTATTGTAAAAGCATCTGTGAATTGCTTTTAATCTAGCCTTTAATAAGAGAGTCAATTTCATTGAGTTGTTTTTTGGTTGGAGAGAGAAGATAGCTGAATACCAAATCTTTGAGCAAATAGCATTTTAGTTGCAAAAATCTTTCTTTTGAAAGAAAGATTTCTTTAAGATAGGTCTTGGATCTTGGTTTTGATTTTTTAATTGTATTGCTTCAAAGAGTTTTATCTGAGTCTTCTCTAATATTAACTATAAAGCCTAGAATTGTAATATTGTTTTGAGTATTAACTAATAGATTAAATCTGGTTTGGTTTGGTAGTTCTACTCTATTGATATTTACTGTAAAAGGAATAAGAGTAGATTTGGATTTGTTAACTAGTGTATTTGAAGCTCATATAGTAATAAAATTTCTTGTAGCTTACTCCAATTTGAGATCTGGCCAATATTAATCAAGAAATTATCAGTATAAGCTGCAATTTTGAATGCTAAATTGTTTATTTGAATGTTTTTAATATTCTGGTCAATTGCTTGAATCAAAGGGTTGATAGCTAGCATATATAGTAGTAAAAAGAGAAGATCCCTTATCTGACCTCTCTTTCTACTCTAAAAGTTTCTGAGATATCATCTATATAGATCTTTTGAGTAGCTAGTAAAGAGCTAATAATGTTAATAAACTTGTAGCTAAAGTTCATTCTTTCTAGAACAAGCTTTAGAAACTCATAATTTACTCTATTAAAAGCTTTTTGTTGGTCTAGATAAA